CCTCATAAGGTCATTTTAATACCAAACTTTTTATTTTGAGTCAAAAAAATTTCAACTTCTTAATGAACCATAAAATACACAAACTTATATTGACTCAGCCAAATTAGGTATAACATTATTTAACTTAAGACCAGAGTCCAGGTCCGGAGAAATGGAGATATGAGATCCTCAGAAACTTGAACGGCTTCATACTTAGAGCAAACAATGACATCAAAACACCAAAAAGATTCGACCAACATTTCAATAAAGAAGAAACAGAAAACGAGCACATGAAAGAAATTTCATCGTCAAAACTCCAACTAAGTAACATCATTACTCCGTTTGGGGTCGTTAATTTTCTTTTACTTTACCGCTAAGTACTCATGAGTCATTAGACATAATCCCGAGGTTTTGGCAACCACGGACGGCCTAACAACCTCGGATAGCTCGGTCCTAATTCTAACAGTTTTTTAACGGCGGTTAAAATTGACAAATTCTATACCTAATTTGGCCGAATCAACCAAAATTTAATATTTTTTTTACTCATTAGAAAGTTGGTACTGATTTTGGCTTAAAACGGATAGTTTGCTATCAAAATGACTATTTTCGCTCTATTTTAGTTATGTACTGGTCTTTATTTATGTTCAATTATAATGTATGTCTGTTTGTTTCGGAAAATTAATGTGGTTTAATTATTATAGTCTACAGTTCATTATGATCCATACATCTATTTAACATAGAAATCATACCTTTATTTAACTTATGTAACAAAACCTAAAAAAGCATACTCAAGCCCTAGTTTCGTTAAAAAGAGAGACAGAATGAGATTAAAATAAGTTTGTGTGAATATATCAAAGTACCTTAGGGCTTTGTTTATTTCTATTGTTTGGACATCTTATAGTTGTTTTAGTTTGTGTGAATATATCGAAGTATTTTACCCTAAAATATGAGAACTAGATTCTCTTGCAAAGATGCTTCTGTAAACTAGTTTTTAGTTAAATCAATGCGACGAAAGTTCCTTTTACTACAAGAAATCTTGCACTTTTGGATTCGAAAGTTGGGTTGCTTTGGTTTCAGTTTCGTTCTTAGGATCTTATTCTCAACGCAACAAAGGCTTGATTTGTTTTGTTGCATACAAGTCTCATGAACATAAAGATATTTGGATGGTGTGAAGTTGATCAATATGGTTGTCAAACTAACTTTTAGTCAAAAGAGTCACAATCCCAACAAGACGACTTTCATTTTAAAAGTGAAGGAACATATGCAATATCATGTCAAACTACTACCATACTCTTTTTTCTTCTTCTCTTGGTTGCAACTTCAAAACTTAAACACGAATAATATGTCGTAACTAGATATAATTTGTTACACTAACAGTTGTGAAGGTATAAAACCTTTTAATTCCAAACTACTACTTGTGTATTATACCGTGAGGTGGAATATGGTAAGGGGCCGCGAACGTACCAATTGTACTAGTGAAGGGGTAACCACGCAGATTGATAAATGCTATTTTGTCGAAATCCAAGATGTAAACGTAGTTAGGGCTCATGCCAGGAAAGGAGCTAGCAGGGACACAAAAAGGTTCAGACTTTGAGAGGAAAATACTGAGATCTCCCGATGTCTTGAGTGTAAACAGCATTTCCTTGTTCGTCTAGCTTAAACACCATCACTTCTTGTGTTTTCATTTTGGCAATACCGTCGATGATCTCGGCGGTCTTCTTGTACCACTTAACCAAGATAGTTTCACCCGTGGTTATTGACTCCACCAAGTGTTCGGTCGTGCAACACGAATCCATAAGCTCGCGTTCGGTCTTGGTCAGCTTGGGAAGGTTTTATATCGGAACCTTCGTAACGTGGGTTTTGTTACGTGTTTGCAGAGATCCCATGATCCGATGAGGTGACCTCCTGACCCGGGAATGCGAAACATGCCATCTTTCTTGGAAAACATGACTCGGGAGGAGTAGAAGCAGGGGTTTTCGATTCTGATGTTTGTCCACTCGGAGATGCTCTGACCAGGTCTACAAAACCTGAGCTGAGGACCCAAGAACTTGACAGCCACAACACAGTCCTCATCCTCAGGAGAAGAAGACATTGACACGTTGGTGACAATTTTGGTTTGGCAATGAGGCAGAGTTACAAGAGGAGGCAAGGGAATGCGTTTGGGATAAGCTTGTGTTGCATGTATTTGTGTCCACGCCGCACTTTTCTTTCTCATAAATTAGATTTTTATCAACATATATCTCTCGTGCTTGTATAACTATTGCTTTGATTTTAACAAGCTTATCATCAAAATTCATGGATTAACAACCCTTAGTCCGAGATAAATTCAAAACTTCCAATCATTTATAGACTAGAGGTACGTAGACATTAAATTTTGGAGAATTAAATCAGATCTTATATAAACAAGTTTTAAAAAAAAATCAACATTAAATTTGTTAGAAGAAGTGTGTAAAAATGAAGTTAAGTTGATAAACACCATAAAACGAAAAGAATGTTCATAGATTTAAAATAAAATGTTATCATAAAATTTTTGTTCGATAAGATTTTTACTGAAAATTGCAACAATAATCATGGAATGACTACAAGAACAAAAAAAAATTGTTATGATCGAATACCCATTTTATACTAGTGGCTGACAAAAAAAAAATTATCGATATATAAGTTATATTTTTAAAAGGTTCTAATTATTAATAGGTGAGGCTAAATAATCACAAATGTACGCAAAACATTAAAAATAATTATTTTGTTAGCAAATTAAGAGGCGTTAAACCCTAAAGATTCTTAAACATGTGGGAGCTTTAGCCCTCAAACACTAAATAAAATTATGGTTCATTCAGTTCATAAAAGAAATTGATTTGTGTAACGTTGCAGAAATAAATAAAATTTAAATCAATTTGATTTTCAGCGAAAAGTACTGAGTTACTTATGGGGTTTTTGTGCTTGATATAATGCGTTTTTGGCGCATTCTAACCTTTGTTTTTTAGGTTTTTATCGAGTTTTTTGCTTTACTTTGAGTCATTCTAGGTCAAAAGGAGGCTGGAATAGAAGATTGAAACTCACAATGGGACTTGGCGAAAAAGAAAGGAAATTGAATCTTTTTGAAGATTCTGGAGAAAAGGAGCACCCGCTCCCGATCGCTAAGACCTACTCCGCAGAAGATCCAGTTTTGGAAATTTTTATTAAACCTATTTTTGCCACCTAGGGTTTTTCTAATAAATCTCAGCCGCCCCAGACCTATATATATGGATATTTTTTTGATCCCTTTTGAAGGAAGAGACCCGAACGACAGTTGGAAGAGATCATCGAAAGTGAGAGAGAGATTTATACTTTGTTTTGTGAGATTGAAGATTGTCTTCCA